GCTTTCAATACTGTATCTTGAATTGCTCTTTGGAAAGATTTGTCAAAATTAGGTGTTCCAGAAAAAAAAATGCTCCATATTATTATCTCCTTTTACGAAAGAATGAAAGCTTTTGTAACGTCGAGAAGTGAGCAATCGGACGCCTTTTTCGTCTCCAATGATACAAAGAAAGGTTGCGTTCTTGCTCCTCTTTGCACTTTTCTTTTCTGCTATGCTTGAAAAAGCATTCTCTGACTTAAGTGAAAGAGTCAATATTGAATTCAGAACAAGTGGAGTTCTATACAATCAGCAATGTTTTAAAGCATAATCAAAACTTGGCCTGCAGCTGGTTCATGATCTTCTCTTTGCAGATGATGCTGCTCTATTAGTACACAGTCTAGTAGACATTCAAGCTACCCTTGAAAAATTCTCTGAAACAGCAAAAGCATTTGAACTCACTGTCAGCATAAAGAAAACTGAGCTAATGTACCAGCCAGTACCTGGCAAGCCATCTCTAACAAATCCTTCCGTATTCATTGATGGTATGGTATTAAACACTGTTGAGATGTTCACATATCTTGTATCAAAGAGTCTCTTCTGATGGAAAAGTGGACAGAGAAATCCAATCCAGAATAGCCAAAGCCAGCACAGCATTCAGTAATCTTAAACATAGGTTATGGAGTATCAATGATGTGTCTCTCAGAGTAAAGATCGACATATACAGATCAGTTGTTCTCTCAACCCTTCTCTTTGTTGCTGAAACTTGGACCCTATACCACAAGCACATAAATCAACTTGACTCCTTTCACATGTGCTGTCTTCGTTCCATATGTGATATAAAATGGGATGACAAGCTCAAGAATAGTGCAATACTGAAGAAATGTAACAACATCACAGGCATTGAAACCATTCTAGCAAAGATACAACTTAGGTGGGCTGGTCATGTTGTGAGAATAGATGAGCATAGGCTTCCAAAGAAGGTGTTGTATGAACAACTACCAAACTCCAAGCGTTCAATTGGATGACCACTCTTATGCTACAAAGACAAATTGAAAGATCTCAACTTTGATCTGAAAACTTAGGAAGCCCAAGCATCAAACTGAAAGGAGTGGCATAAGACATGTTTCATTAAGTTAAAGGGTTTTGAAGACAGTAGACAGAAGCACCATGATCAGATTCATCAAGCTCAGAAGCAAAGACTCCATCAAAATCCTGCTTTAACAAATTTCATCTTTGAAATTTCATCTTTGAAAAGCTGGGTTATTATCACACTTAAGAAAGCACAAATGGAATATGTCTTTTCCTTACCTGATTTTCTCCACAATAGCCCCTGCTAACATGCATAAGTATAAAACGAAAGGCACCATCCACTGCTAACCCTAACAAGTCAGTGCTGTACCATAATGATTGTGCATGACAAAAAGAAATGAGAGATGGTGAATTTGATGTTCCCCAAAGATTGTTTGACATGGCAGAGGTGTTGGAACTCATGACCCTGTACATATGAAAAGAGATAAATAAATGTTATATCTTCATTCCATTGAATGAAGATAATACAATCCTGATATAAAATGTCACTTGGAGTCAACATAGTCTTACTGAATTCTGTAGTAAGGATATAAGGCTCACTCCTGGCTAGCTTTCTGCGGATGATTCTTGGCATCAGTATATATGGTATTTGGATGAGTCCAAGTCATATTCTGGAGAAGTGTGTTCATCTCCACAACAATAAAATTTTACACATTCATGATCATAGACTCGGGATGAGGATTTGTGATGTTAGATAAAAAAAGAGAAAGTGATAGGATAAGAAAGAAGCTGTTAAAATTATTCAAAAAGCTTGGCTTCAGGTTAGAGGTTGCAATGAATCTGAAAGTTGTTCAATACCTTGATTTGAAACTTCAGAGATAAAAGTGTCTCCTTTAACAGAAAGCCAAACCACCCAAGAGCAGTCATGAAGCATATACCTTGGGGAATTGAATATTGTCTGTCCAGGAACTTCCTTGGACATAAAAATATTTATAGAAGTTAAAGAATATGGGAGAGCCTTAAATAGACAAGGGCACAAGTCCAAATTGATTTTTAAAAACATTGAATTATTAGAGAGAACTAGAGAAAGAAAACAATTATCACAGAAAAAGAAATATAATTTGGTTTAACCTCAATATAAAAATTGGAAAGATATTTTTTGGATTATTAAACATTTCCTTAAAAACTCTATGCCATATAAAGTATTTAACAAACATTCAATGAAAACAAGCTATAGTTGTATGCCAAACATGCAAAGAATAATCAAAAAACACAATGGCAGAGTGCTAAATATAAGAGAAAAACAGGCGGAAAGAAGTATAATTGTGGAGAGTCGATAAAGTATCCTCTTGACAGTAACTGCATGGTGGAAAGAGTAGTGTATATATCTAGAGAAAAATGATATAGTTTTTCTACTGGTGGAGCATTCAAAAAAAGATTTTACAGCTATAGAACATCCTTTAATTTGGCAAAATGTAAAAATAGCACCTGCCTTTCTAACTATGTGTGGGAAATTAAAGTAAAAGAAATTAAAAGCCATATTATAAAATGAAAAAGACCTACAGTTTTGATTTAGGAAAGAATATATATTCATTATGCCAGGAGGGAAAGTTGGTGATTGTAACATATCCAAATTTGAGTGTGTTATAAAATGAGAGATCCCAAATAATTAGTGTACAAACATACAAGAAAATTTCTCCTGGTAAATTATAGACCAGAGTAAAACATTATTTTGTCAATAGAATGTGCAATTTTTTTTTCCATTTCCATCACAGATGGTAAATATAGCGAATTTCTAAGCACTGCTTAGATGTGGCACAAGGCCAGAAGTATGGAGTATCCAATGAGGATTGAACTCACTACTCAGTCATAATATATTCTAGCGAGACAAGCTTGCTAACCATTACACCACGCCGAGGTGCCCTCACAGATGGTAAATATATAAGTGTATTTCAGTAAATAGATGAGGGGGAAAATCCTGACTTTTACCGTCGGAAGATTTACAAAAGAAAAAAAAAAGTG